AAAAAAAATCGAAAATCATTTTAGAGGAGAAAAGATCATATAAATAATTTTCAGAAATCTGATCCTATTCCCAATATTCTTCTCTTATTCAACAATATATTAAAATATATTTCATTATTTTAGGTCTATACGTACTGGTAAAATATTAATAAATGAAGGTCAGATTATATATGCAAAATTACCACCTGATGCTCATCGAAGACGTATTCTTGTAACATATCCTGTTGTAACAACTGGTTCCACAGTTTCAGCTGGTATTAAACTATTACTTACAGAATATTTATGTGAACAATCAGATATTATTCTAATAACATTATTTTCAACATCTGATGGTGTTAAAAGAATTTGTGAATCATATCCAAAAGTAAAAATTGTTGTCTCAGAAATTAATGAACAAACACCAATTCATTTTGGTCAAAAATATTTCGGTAGTAAAAATATTAAAACTATTTCTTTCTTATTTTTTATTTCTATTTCTAGGTACTGATTAATGATAAACATTTGTTTCATTTAATTTTGTGGCGATTTTTTTAAATGCATTTTCTCATTCAATTCTCTTTTTCAATAAATTAATGATCATCTTGTTGATAAATTGAAATATACATTAGTTTTTAATCATTCAATAATTAAGATAATCTTGCACAATCGTTTAGTAAGAAAAGATTCTTTTTTTTCTTTTCGAGTTAGTATATATATATCGTATGAGATTTTCGCTTTCATTATCTTAATGCGTTCTTCTTGTTCTTTTCTTTTGACTAATATTGAAATGTGTCATTTCCAACTGATGAACAAAAGGGTATCGCTTATGCATTATTCCCAGAATATGTTGTATTACAAGAGATAGGAATAATCTAGATAGCCATTTCTTGTCCTATAAATGCTTACATTTTCTTCATAAATAAACGAACTATTACTAAGTTTCCAGACTATCATCTTCTTCTACAGCTTATGATAAGATTGTAACAATAGCTGTGATTAAAATACAAGAGACTTTTAATTTAATAGATACTCTTGAAAGTAATCAAATGTTCTTCAAAAAAAAGTACTTCAAATAAGCTAGTAAAACGGAACTCTTCAAAGCTCTAGCTAGTATTATACGATATAGAGAACAATTATTTTTCAATTGAAACTCTGGATGCCTAGTTTTATTGGTGTCAGTTTAAAGTCAAGATAGATCGATTCAGAAATGGATATACATTAAATGTAAAGCGACCTTTCCACGTAACATTCCACCCATCAGGTCTAAGTCAGAAAAATGCAAAATTTGTGTTCTCATCCTGTAATTCTTAAGATACTGAAAGGATGATGTACGATATGTTTCTTTAGACATTTTCGTGCATGCTTAATCAGCCTCATCTATTCAATGAAGTTGCAGTTCATTTTCAGGAAAAGAAACGGTGATAAAAATACGACCATTTTCAAAACATGAATACGTCACGACACCATTTTTTACTTGCATGGCTATAGCTACCATTTTTGTTAATTCCGTCACGAGCATATATTTTACTTTTAGAATTATAAGAAAGGACGAAATCTAACGAAACTCTTTTGATTTGCAGAGCAGTCGAACTTATATATCTTATGGAAGTATTCAACCTTACCCGGTCGAAATATATTGAGATATTACAGAGAGAACGTGAAAAAACGTGGCTCCATCACGCGTAGACAGATCGATATGCTTTTGTCTTATTTTGGAGACATATATATATATGATGTTTATTGGTGTAAAAGTAAACAAAATAAATTCCAATAAATTTTTGTATTATTTTTATAAATAAATAAAAGTACTTTTCACTAACACTAATGAATATGACTGGAATCTTCTCTTTTCTGATCGTACTGATTTTAGAAAGATCTGTAATTGTGTCTTAAATTTAATAATGTTTGCTATTTATGGTGATAATTCTATTCGTACAAAAGGTTCTATATCACGTCGACATATTGGACACAACCGGAGATACTGACCGCAAGAAGTACATACAACTAAATGACCACACGGTAGACAAGCAAGACATTTTATTCCCATATTACATAAAATACAAGCATGTGATAATAACAGATGGTTTTTTTGACTTGATGTATTCAGTTTATTTTCTGTAGATTGTGATGAGATTGATTTTTCAGTATTAATATTATTGAAGGATGTCGTAAGCAATATTGTATGACGACGAGTTTCTGCCAAACAAAATCAAGGAAACGATGTAGCACATGGCTAGAACTATTGATACCTAATAGTTCTTGAGAAGTTTTGTTCATTTCTACACTTGGAATAATAATATTTTCTTCGTTTTCACCAATATATGTAATTTGTTTTTGATAAACTACACATGCAACAAGTAAATCGCAGTCGCTAATAAAGTCATCACGTAAAGTTGAGATGTAATGAACATTTCTTATGTTTCAATACATAAAATAAAATCAAAGTTCTGTCTTACGTTTCAATCTGAGTTGATCCTTCGAGCAACGTTTTATGACTGCTGATGTATAGTTTCTATTGAGTAAGCTTTGTGAAATTGGTAAATCAAGTCCAGCAGCTACCATCTTGAGGGTGTGCGTGTTATATTCTTCTTATATCTACACTCGTATCCACACACTCACACCCTCAAAAAACATAATCTTTTTGTTTTTTCCACATTACTGACATGTTACTTGCTTTTGTTGAGATAAATAAAAGTAATATTTATCTCCTTTCATATCTTTATCATAAATTAAAATCTTTCTAGACTATCACATTCAACAAGCCTAGATATAATTATTTATATAACAAATGCAAGACAACAAAATATAAAAACAGGCATCAAACAATTTCATTAAATAAAGTCTATCAACACTTTTCATCGTCATTAACAGTATTTGTATGTGATTATAAGATTATAACTATAAGGTCTTGTTTCCTTATTTTATTTCAAAACGATTTTAAGTGATGTACCAAGACATACACTAAAATAAATATATAACGAAAAACTTTAACAATAATAGATAAAAACCAAAAACTTTAGCAATAATAGATAAAAATAATAACTGACATATGCAGAATATGGAAATATTAGAAAAATAATCTGATCTGACGACTTATCTTGACACTGAGCTTTGAAATGCTGTTAAATTTTATAATCCTATTTATCATATATTTTTTTCAATAAATTTTGTATGAAGCTTAGATATAGATTCTGACGAAAGATTCAATCTTTCGTCGACATATTGGACAGGATCGTAATGAATGACCACATGGTACACATGTTGCTAAATGACCACAAGGTATACAAGCTAATCTTGTTTCTTCTGTTAAACAGACACTACAAGGATTTGATGATGTTGAATTAACTGAAGATTGTGTAGATATAGATTCATTTGTTGATGATGGAGATGATGTAGTCATATCAGCATCAGTAAAATTCGTCATTGATTGCGTTGTAGCTAATGTTTGTTCCGGAGTACGCATTTCTATCAAATAAAAAATAAGAAAAAAAATATTGTTAAAACATTTTCTCTAAAAACTCACCATTCTGTTCTCTAATTTGTTTCATTCTTATACTTGGTATAACAACGTTCTCTTCTTTACTATCAATATGTTCGATTTGTTTCTGAAGAATTAAACAAGCAATATATAAATCACACTCCGATACAAAATCATCTTCTAAAAGAAAAAAAAAGAATATTGAAAATTATAAAATAATGTATTGCAGTTTGTTTAACTTACGCTTCAATCGTAATTGATCTTCCCAACATCGTTTGATAATAGATAGTTTAAATTTTTGATCTAATAAACGTTGTGAGATTGGTAGCCCTAGTCGTTGTTTAACAAGTTCAGATAGAGTACTTTCATCAGGTATTAGTAACTGTCCGTTGTCTGTTGTAGTTGAGGTAGTAGTAGTAGTACTTGCTGGCATACCCAGAGCTGCCTTTTCTTTTGATTCATTTGCTCTGGCGCGTTCTAAATAAAAGACAAAAAAACTTAGATTTAGTTTAAAAATTTCTTATATTCTACTATACCTTGTTGTGCTCGTTTTGATTCTTGAATTTTTCGATATAAATCATCACCACAAAGTTGTTTAGCATAGGCACAGTGTGGAAACCATTGAGCATGTTCGATCATTGGATCATGATTTGGTTGCCAGTTTTCTAATGATCCATTACAATAAAAGCAAGTCACAATAGTTTTAGTGCCTGTATAAAAAAATCCTGCTCGAACTAAATCATCGATTGATGGTAAATTTTCAGCTGGCCAGAGACCAAATGATGCATGGCGTTTTGGTATTTCAGTATATGCAGGATTACATACAGCTGTAAATACTATTTCATTAGATCTTAATGGATCGAGACCAGTTGCTGTTGATGAATTCATATTTTGCGTTGAACTTGTTGAGTTTTCATTTACAATAATTATAGATGAAGCTGCAGGACGAATTAATTTAGCTGTAACGTATATACAATTGGGCGAAAGAGTTTTATGTACTTCACATGGATCATCAGTATGTGGTGTCCATTGTTGACATATGAGGTTACAATAAATACATATTACTCGATCACCTACATTGCAGTAGAAAAATCCAGATTCTATCATTTGTGCTGTTGATAGAATTATACGATGTGGCCAATGAGAAAACGTTCTTTGTCGTACTTGTTTTAACATATTTTCTGTGAGTACATTCAATTGAAAGCCATTTTGTAGTACTTCGACTTTCCGTCTCTTAGTAAATGGTTCATCAGCAATCAATGTTGAAATAGTTGAAGTAGGATTAAGTATTGAGGAAGCCGAAATCATTCCTTTTGGTTTTATTGAACGTATGAAAGTACATGTTGAACTGCGTTGTGAATGAATAGTAAATGGTTTCATATCAATTGTCCACCCAGACACTTCAAGTCCACAGGCATCACAACGGGCCGCATCTTTATCATTTGTATAATGAAATCCTGCTGCTTTCATAGCATTGACTGAATGTACTCCAGGTTTTTGTGTTAATCTTTTACAAGTTGCGATTGTTTGACCGTTCTCCATCATTAATAAATATTGGGTCTGGATCTGGATCTGGCTGAGGGTTCTTGGATTTTTCCAACGACTTCATTTTTATATGGAGAAAAAAAGTTACTTGGAAAAAACCCGGTGAATAAATAACAACAACAACAACAGAAAAGAAAGAAAAAAAACCCACTAGCCAGTCAGACGGAGCATGGACACAGAGAGAGAGAGGGCGTTGTTAAAAGAGAATTCGATTCAGATGTAAGCATACGTAATACAATTTTACTTATTCATAATATACGTATTAGTCTTTTTCGGTAAGAACGTTATATACCATTCTAGACTAGATAATCAAATAACAGTATTAAACATAGTAAATTTGAGTGCAAAAAAGAAGAGAACTGTTACATATATACAAAAACATTCTCAATTGCAGAAATTCTCGATCGATTCAATCCTATTCTATCAACATCTCTTTTTGATAATGATCATCTTCTATGAACAAAATATTGATTTATGTACATGTACAGAAGATGACATATTGAATCAGCATTCTATTCCGTTATTATGTACATTGAAAATAATATAAGACAAAAAATATTGGTAATATAATTATTTTCAGTTCTATCTGTAAAAATAGAGCCTTATTGGTTTTTGTTTTAAATTATTGCGTCATAGAAAGAAAACAACGTAAATCTAACTCATTTAAGTTGTGTACGTCTGATAAGCACTTTTAGTATTTAAAAAAAAATGTCATTATGATTCATATCATTTTATTTTACTTATGCAGAGAACTATGTTTCATCAATTGCGGTTCAATGACATCATAATGAATATTCATTGTTTGATGCAAGAAAAAATCAAATACCTAGTGTTTTCGTTACAGCAATCTTGACTGTGTAATGTTTGGTTAAATATTATGATGAAACGTTTTTACTTTATCATGGTAAATTTCAGTCACATGTAAAAACAAATGCTTTTAGTAGACAAAATCTATTTGCTAGACTTTTAAATTTTGAAATAAGAAATATTCCTATTAAATACACTATTTCTTCCTTTATTACTCTCAATCCATACACTTTCAAAAAGAAAATTTGGAAGTATCGCTTTTTTAATGAACCCGCATCAATGAAAGTTTTCTTTTTAATACTAGAAGATTATAAATGTCATACCATATAAATATTATTCATGGACATGGTACATTTTGAGGATACCTATTTAATCATCTATAAACGAACGCCTGTATGTAATCTATTGAAGTATAAACGTATAACATGTTTTTCTCATAAAAAGTACATTCTATAAAAACAAAATAATGAATCATATAAAAATGCTGAATACGTTGCTTACTAATTTATTTGATAAATCATTTAAAAGAGTCATTATGGCCAATTTAAAAAGCTGTTATAATGCATATCGAAATACTTTCTAGATAAATGAATAATATTTATTTATCATTATGAATTATAAAAATGTAAATAAAACACTTACTTGGTATTTCTTTTTTAAATTTATTACTTACGTTTTTCACAAAGAAATGGATTTATAGCTGTAAGAGAACATACAGAATATTCGTTCACTATTATTTATATATGTCGTATCGAGGTTAACCTGTTTGACGAAGTACTAACTTCAGCATGAATTTTACGGAAGTTATAACTTCGACAAATTCAAATACCATCGGAATTTCTTTTCAAATTGAAAATAATTTGTCGGTAATGTTCCAATGTAAACATGGGATTATTCGATCAATAGGTCTTGAGTTTAAGAAATTCTGCATTAAATTGCGTTTTGCACTGACTATTATCATTTGTACTTGTGGCCGAGGATGATAACGTTGATGCAGTCATAGTAGCATTCGAGTATTGGTGATAAATTACAAGTAAACAGAAAGTATTTATTTCATTCAATAAAAACCACAGGCTATATATACGACAGCGTCTCATACATTTTCTGGATATATCCATGATGTAATCGAGGTAGTTTCGTTTGGATAAATCCCAAAAGATATCATACATACGAAGAGATAAAACAGAGAGAAAAAGAAAAAAAGCCGACGTATGTAGCAGAAAGAAATGGGAAAATTTTCATATGTGACATATGGAAGAAAATAAGAAAGCAAAACGAAACGAAAATACATATGTGAAGAACAGAATCAGTGAATGCAGTAATTCTACTCTTCTAAAAAGAACTTCGATGATCCATCCTGTTGAAGTTATTACTTCGTCAAAGAGGTTAACTCCGATACGACATATATATCGTATGGTATCTTCACTTTTGTTATCTTAATGAGTTCTTCTTCTGTTCTTTTGACTACTATTGAAATGTGTTATTTTCAGTTGATAAGTAAAAAGATATCACTTAGGTATCTTTTCTAGCATTATTCGTTCGCTATCCTTTATATATATGTATATGGAGACTGATATTTTTGTTTTAACTGACTAATTTTTCGCTCTTTATACATATTCATATATGACTTATTCTTATCAATTTACTTGATGCTTATCATTGTATTTTGCACATATAATTACGTATAAACAGCATAATTTCTTCTATTCCGGGAAAATACGATATGAAATATTCAATATTGAAATTAATCTTATTTCCTCCTATTTTGCTTAATGATATTTTGTTGGCTTATGCTAAAATTTAGTAAACTTAACACATTCTTCAATTCAACGATATTAGTTAGATTTTCATGAATTCGAAATTTTAATTAAAAATACAGTTTAATATTTATTCGAATCTTTCTTCAGTACCCAGTGAAAAATTGTCAGATTATACCTCATTATGTAAGATTATAATCGAAATTTTGTGCAACAAAATCAGGATTATAATCGATTGGAATCTTTCAAATCAACAATAATTCGATTTTTAATCAAAAAAATATCTTCTAAATCAAGTATAATTTTGATTAAAATCATGTAGTTCTGATTACAAATAGAGTAAATAAAATTTGTATGGTTTTAACCAAAATTATATTTGATTTAGAAGATTTTTTTTGATTAAAAATCGAATTATTGTTGATTTAAAAGATTTCAATTGATTATAGTTCTGATTTTGTTGCACAAAAATTTGATCATATAATCTTACATGATGAGGTATAATCTGACAATTTTTCACTGGGTATGTCTATGGATTTCAACAGCAGATAATTGAATGCTAACAAGATTGCAAACAATGAATTTCCTATGAGAAATTATTTATAATTAAATTAAGTGATATTTTCCAGAAGTTATTATCTTCAACTAATAGAAATATATTTCAAAGTATACAGAAGACTAAAATTAAAGACTTTTTTTTTGTTCGTTGGATAACTCAAATTATCGATTAGGAGATATCTATGTAACATTTTTCTTCTTGATAAAAGGCACATTCATAGAAAGATAGAAGAATAAACTTTCTAGATTATGTATTTCATAAAAGAAATTAGTAGCACTGTAACTCATCTGTCATCACGTTATACTTGATGAAATGATAATACGAATGCTTCTTTTAACATTGAAATGTCATTGTTGTTATTTACTTTTGTAAAAATTATTTTTACGTTTCTATGTATTTTGAAGTTAGATGAAGCACATGGAAAAGAAAATAAAGTGTTGTCATGTATAAATACATATTCAACACATGTTTATACAGTTGTCGATGTAAATACGTTAACTATATGTGTGAATGTTGACTACATTTATATCCATTGTATACAGAACGTGAGCTTAAAAAAAAGAAAAGAGAGTGCAATCAACGGTCATAAGAATAACTATAGGAAAGAGGAAGAACACATATTCATGTAATAGTTATTATATAACTTACCAAACTAAACACAAGCTGATGATGTATCTAGTGAGAGTAGTTCAATTATTTAGTATATAGAAACAATACAGCACTCTTCTAGATTACTTAAATAAGTGTCAATATGTCAGATGAAGAACAGAAAAATATGCTTGAAAGTAAGTAAAAAAATAATATTTTACTATTAAAATTCTTTTTCTTTTCTACCTTTTATGTATAACTAGCATCAAAACAAAATAAGTAAGTTATTTTAACAAATATATTTTATTTATTTTGTATTTTCTATAGCATGTCATATACACATATTGAAGATTTATCAAATGAAATTTTTTATGAAATATTTGAATTTATTGATTATTATGATTTATACAATGCATTTTCTAATCTAAATAATCGTTTTCAAAATCTTTTCAATTATCCATATCTTTCATTAAGCACAAATATTGAACATACATCAGCATCTGAAGTTGAAAAATATTATACACAATTTATAACTCCAAATAAACATCGAATTGTTTCACTTTATTTCAACGATCGTTTATATATTAATAGCTCCCCTTCATCCTATATTATCGATTCATCATTTAATCGTCTTCAATCACTTAATTTTAATCGAGTTCAACATAAACAATTTCTTTCATTACTTCCAACTTTAATGTCTCTACCTCATCTCTCTTCAATCATCGTTCATTTTAATGATAATATAGTAAATCTTACTGAAATCTATCGTCTAATATTTCAATTACCATTCTTAAATAAACTTGAACTTTTAGCTAAAGGATATTCCTTAACAATGTCATTACCACTTAATGAATTAGAACAACATAGTCATATTAAACATTTAATAATTAATCACGCTTGTAGTCTTACGGAACTTATCAATTTACTTTCGTATACACCATTACTCGTTCATTTAACTTGTATGGAATTATGTAAACAAGATCAATATATTGAAAAGATTACATCATTAAAAATATTTAATTTAACTTCTATTACATTTCATATGTGTAATGTAGAATTTTCTAATTTGGAAATTTTTATTCAAAATATAGGTAAACAACTTCGTGTTTTATGTATTAATACATCTCAAGATATTGCTTATATGAATGCTACTCGATGGGAACAGCTCATTTCTAAGTATATACCAAATTTACGTGTACTCAAATTTGGATATGATGAATATCATTATCAGAATATTGAATTAGCTTCACATCATACTTTACTCAATCAATTTACTTCATCATTTTGGATCAATCGAGGATGGTTCTTTCAAATAACAGTTGATATCGATTATTGGCCACCTATTAAAGTTACCTATTCTATTTCTCCTAACAGGTATACGAGAAAATCTTCTGACAGTAAATATATTTATGTTCGTTTTAGACCAAGTTGGTGTCATATGTATGAAGAACCTGATAATATAAAACTAACAGTTGATCGTCTTTATTTTGCTGCATCTCGAGAATATTTAGTTGATAAAATCTTTTCATTTATTAGCACATTTCATATAACACATCTGACTATTGATTGTGAAAAGTTCGCGTATATAAAATTTATTCAACTTCTATCTATGTTACCAAATCTTAATTCATTAAAAATAATGTCATTATCTTATTTCAAATTGAAATGTGCAGTAAATCAATCATGTTTAATGAATAATAAAATCATAACATTAGAATTTCAAAGTTTTATTGAAAATATTGATTTAGAAAAAATTCAATTTTTTATTGATCTTTGTCCTCAGATGAAATATTTACAAGTTAAATGTGAACATACGTTTAATATTGAATCAATTCTACGATATATTTTACTAAAAAATAATACTAAATTCAATTTCTTTTGTTTATGGGTTCCAATAACAAATGATATTATGATTAAACAATTGCAAATAATGATTAATCATGAAAAACTTCTTATTCAAAATTATAAAATTAAACGTACAACTGATAAAATTTATTTACAATGGAATAATTAGTAAAATTATACAAATGTGTTTTTTTGTAAAAAAAATTATCTTATTTATATTTAAAATAAAATTTTAAAGTCTAAAAGTATCAAAAAATTGACCCCGACGTGACTTGAACACGCAACCTTCTGATCTGG